CATAATATGACTTGTATTGTTTGGTGTTAAATTTATTCAACAAGTTGAAAATCAAAAAATGGGATCCACAACAATATGTGGTGTCTTTTTTTTTGGCTGTTGATAATAATTAAATTTTTCATATTCATCTTACGTATTTGGAGTCATATGTTCCACAGCAAATTGATTTATTTATTTTCTTCTTTTTTATCTATTTTTTTATGATCGATAAATAGAGACTAACTTTTTTATCATAAGATTTAGACATTTTCAAGCAAATTTTGTTATATTATATTCTTATTAAATATTTCATAAGATTTCAATTCTAACCATTTTATTTAATGTTATAATCATTTTATTTTTAAAATAATAATTGTTTATGTTTTAACTGTTATTATTTATTTACAAAATTAAAATATGAAATGAAAATAAATAGATAATCTGTTGCTTTTTCTAAAAATAAAATTATTCTGAAATAAAAAATATTAGATGTATATGTGGATGAAAGAGAAAGTGATGTGTTAGAATAAAATATAAAATATAGGGTGTTGAAAAAATAGAACCAATGTAGATAGTCTTATGAGCCTACAAGAACATTGTAGTCTCAAAAATAAAATTATGCGGATAACAAATTTTATACAAAATAATGATATAATGTCAAAAATTGTAGATATAAGATTTTCATTTGGAAAATAGACAAAACTAATGATTATTACACTGTATACACACATCTTAACACAAAACTGATTTAAATTTCGTACAAACCTATATGTATAAATATCCTCAAATCATAAACTGAACTTAAACGAAATTTACAAGATAGTAATGTTTAAGAAATCACATAGTAATGTTTAAAAATCACTAAGCATTAACTAGGCGCTTTATAGAGACTAGTTATTATTTGGGTCTAGACAAAGCATATGCGTTAACAACTTATTTATTTATTTTATTTGTATTTTATATTTATATAAAATTTTTTGATTTTTTTTAACTTGAATTATAAGTTTATTTTGATGAATTATCAAAATTATATATACAAAACAAAGGAAATTAAACAAATTTGTGAATTTATGTTAACATTATTGCTTAATTTATTAAACTTAGATTAATTTAGATCGTTTCAAGTTAATTTAAAGTGTTTTAAACCATTATAAATGGTTTAAATCGATTGGACTCGTATAAATCGAATTTTATGAAAATTGTTTCGGTCATAACCGGTTTATCGTCTAGGCGCTGCCTAAACAAATTTTTAGAACATTGCATGATACTAAACTATAAGCTTATATTCTCTTAAAATAAATATATGAAAAGCCATATGAATATGTTTGTTGTTTTGAAAGTTAGACTATGTGACACCTCAAAGTTTCTCTGCACCAAATTCAGAAGCAAAAGTATTGGTTTCCTCATTTGATCATATAGGGAGGCTATCTACATATGTGAAAGAGCAAACATAAATCCACACCAAAAGATAGATAATGATTAGTTTCCATGAGGTTAGACACAAATAGTAAGAAAGTTATGCAACCTTCTTGCCAACTAAGTTAGCCCCGAACCATGCTAAAACAGTTGTAGGTACGTCTGATTATGGAAACTGTTGGAGATCTTCTGAGGCAATACCGGAGTTGCTAAAGAAGCTTTTGGAAACAAGAGACCCTTATAAACTGATGTTATCATCTCCTCTAAGCCATCTGTATATTCAAGGTAATGAATATAATAATAATTAAGAAATGTATATAGCAAACTGTAACAAAGGGTCTAAACTCTAAAGTATATAAGCAGATTTGCCTCACTTGTGCTTCTAAAGTAGACATTTGCAGAGTGACTTTTAGCACGTCGTCGTTTCTTCTCTGATTTAAACGGAAACATTTCAAAAACTCGACCAAGTGATGGGAATCTGATGGGAGAGATCAATCAGAAGAGCAATGACGAGAGAGCTGCTATACTACAGAACGGCCCTGATCTTGGAAGTAGCACATGTTGTGATAACTGATGGAAGGGCGTTAAAGAGTATGGAGAATTTTGAAATGATTGAAAATCTTGCAGAGGAACTTGGTGGAGCAGGTTAGTATCTATGCTAGTTTTTCTCAAACTTGGTGTTCCATTTACACTCCCATCTAGGGATGAAGCCATATCTGTAAGAAAATTTTGATAGGACACAAACCAAGAAGCTATAAGCTATTAGTTCATAACTACAAATGAAAGCACCTAAACCAGACCAGTCTTCAAAAGAAACTAAAGCAATAAAAAGACCACACAGTTAAGATAGATGTTTGATATTATTCTACTTGCATTTGACTTCCTATATCAGCATTGAACTTTCCTTAGATCTAACGAGCTGCTGAAATTTTCTATTGTTTTGTGGCTTTCCTTGCTTTCAACCATGCCAGATTTCTTTGAAGCTTGATAATGCAAACTCTTTTCATATGAGTCATTATCACCATCACCAACATCTTCGTTTCCCTTTTCTAACTGCTCACTGGAATTCACGGTTTCTTCAGTTCCAAGGACAGTGTCATGAACAAAGCAATCATGTCCTTAAGTTTCATAACCTACAGCATTGCCATTGTTTGACTCACCAGGTACTTCAAAACCTCCAGAAGCAAGATTTTGAAGAAGGGTTGGTTCATTGTTGTCTGCATTTGATGCAATCTTTTTCTGCTGAATCAAACTATCATCTTCCTTCTTTTCCGAGCTCCCCTTTTCTACAGCCATGCCACCATCTTCATGGAGCAAACACTTTGGCTCCTTGTTTCCATCATCGGGCATACTCATCTTCTCCACATTGCTTCCATGTACATCAAGCTCATCATCACAAGTTTGCCTTGCATCATTATCTTCATTCCTTTGATCTATCTCTGGTGGTGGTACAATTTCATTTCTGTTAGGATTCCTTAGCTTGAATCTACTTTGGATTTGTGAATCGATTTAGGAATAAGAAAGAATAAAATCAAAACGAAAGAGACACAAGATTGTTTACCCGGTGTTCACCGCACCACACCGTTAACTAGGTGTGGCCGCTATACATCATCGGACCGGAGTATCCCGGAAATTCACTAGATATGTGTGATGAACAGAGTCTTTACAATCACCTAACTCTCTCAAGCTCTCTCTCTCTCTCTCTCTCTCTCTTTCTTTCTTCTGTTACAGCTCTCGAAGTTTCTAGAGGAAAGTATTCTAATATACCCCAGTTGGAAAATAACTATTCTAACTACCCCATCATTTTTCTCACTGCCCCACTTTTTTTTTTTTGTTCGTAGTAGTTTCTAGTAATTCAAGGTAGTTTGTTTTTTGTTCATAGTAGTTTTCTAGTAATTTAAAGTAGTTTCTAGTAATTCATAGTAATTCAAAGTAGTTTCTAGTAATTCATATTACACATAATACTGATTCATTAAGGGTTGTTGATTTTATAACCATACTTAGACTTTGAGCAAAAAAAANTTCTAGAACTATCTCTCACGAAGAAGATGATACAACATAAAGAAGAGAACTCTCTTTTGATTGGCTGAGAGATTATTGCCCACACGTGCCTCTCACATGTCTTGTATATTCAGCTTGAGTCAAACCCTCTGAACCACTCAGAGTATTCATCACACACAGCACTTGCTTAAAGAGGAATCAGATGACATAAACCCACAATCTCCACCTTGTCACTGATCATCTTTATGCTCTTATCTAGTCATGAATTTCCCTCCGGTACTTAGAGCAAACTCGCTCAGCTTCTGCAACCCTTTGCATCCTTCTGCAACCCTTTTGCAGTTTCCTGAGATATACTATCTTCAAGACTTTATGTCTCCTTGAATAAAGCTCATCCAGCTTCATATCTTTGAGCTCCACCACTCAACTCCAACGCTTCTTGAAACCTGTCCAAGCAACCTGTTTTGTATCCAACTTGATACAGCCTGAAGACTTTGTCTCTGCTCCCTTTAGACTCTTCTAAACCGCAGTGCTGACCTCAACAACCTCAGTCTTCTAACACTTACTCAATCACCAATGAACCAGACTTGAAAAAACTCATCAAACTCCAACCGTGACATGTAAACACCACTGTTCCCGAGCTATTAAACTTCTCAAGTCATATTTAGTTGACTTCCCTGCACTTCACAGCCTCTTGTTGTGCTCAACTTCTCCACTGGTCCTCCTTTTGGCACTTTCCGTAAATCAGAAACTTGAGACGACCACCCATCAATAATCAGCAAAAAACTCCATAAGCTTCACATGTTACTGAATATTGAGTCATCAAACCTTCTGCCAAAACTTGATCTCGATGCTATAACCCTGTTGCTTTGACTTGAAGATCACCAACTATTCTGCCCCGGAAAAACTGATGGTGAAAGTTAGCAACTGCCTAACCTCTTGAAGACCTCTTTTATCCCTGTCTCAGACTTACAAAACCATGCAATACCCCTGAGACACTTCTTCTGTTACAGTGACCTGTGACCTGCAATGCCTTTTACCCACCTGCAATCTTCACCAGAAAACCTCTGCACTTGCATCACTGATTCTTCCTGACTTTACTGCAACCTCTCTCTGTCCATCAGCTTCATTTTACCATGCTTCTGATCTTTATACCTTCACTTGATTTATCTCAAGCGCCTTTACTGAGAAGATTACTCCAAGTCTTCTTACTGATACTCTTAAACAACTCAGAATTCCTTTGTAGTTGTCTTACTACCAGCAAAACAATCTCTGATCTTTACCATGCTTCACAATCCGTAGCTCTTTTTATCCTTCAGTTTCTGACTTCAGAGATTATACAAACCGCTTATGTAGTCCCTTATCTTTTGATGTAGCTTGTTCTTGAGCTGCTTGATTTTATACTGATCACCTTCTGAAGCAGCTCCACCTTGAACTAAGTATTCTCTTCTCTCTATAAAACCTGCAATACAAAACTCATAGTTCTGTTAGAGAAGAGATTCAGCATTACCTGTCTTACCCTGAAGTGACAAATCTTTAGTGCATTCCTCTTCAACGCCAAGGTCTCTTTCTCTGTATGAGATGATCCTGAGATGAACCGAAGACCAAAAAACCCAACTTTTTTTTTCTCCACCTTGGTCTAGGTTCAGATCAATATCAGACGACCTCTTTCTTCAATCATGACTTCTGCATTACGGTATTTGATTCCCTCCGATAAACACCTTCACCGAAGCCTCCAACACTAGTCTCTGCCAGATCCAAAACTCACCACCAGAGAATCTACATCCTCTTTCTTTCATGTTTGAAGCCTCCTGAAACTTTCAGTTTCAACTTCTAGCTTTGCACGCACCATTTCAGTCTTATACAAACCTGCATAAGTCTTACTCATATAACACAAGTCTCATTAGTAACATGAATAAATTTGACAGCAAATTTGTGATTATCAGAAATTTTGTGATTATCAGAAGTAAGACTACACTATACTTCTGAACCAACAAACCAATAACCCTGTCTATGAGTTTTCACTTGGCTCCACACACCCCTGTGTCAGCCAAACTCCCATTGATGCTCCATTTAAACTTGTAGGCAGTCCTGCACTTAACCATCAAATAAGTTTTGACTCCTGAAATAAACTCCTGCAGTGAGTTCAAGTCTTTAGTCTCCTCTCCTTTCAATAAAGTGCAAACTTGAATCACATTAGCCTCACTTCCTTAACGCTACTTTGATTCTCTGTAAAATATTCTCAAAACAGTAGTTAATAATGCCATGAGATAATACATTTTACAGACCAACAGAAAATTTCCATAAGCTAAACCGCTCATGAGCTTATCAATCACACAATCTCCTTTATGATATATGTTCCAATCATAAACCTGTTTCAGTGATTTAGACAAACATATCCTACTGCAACTTGATTCTAGTGCTAGTGTTTTGTTTCTTGTCATGTGCACTGATGTTAGAAACAAACTCCCTTGAATCTATGCAGTGGATCCTTGAATCATTCATGCTTCAATCTGAAACAACCTCAGACTCAAACCTGTAAAACAATCTCAACCAACATCCCGTTAGTCTTAATTAAAAAAAAATCTGAGACTGTACTTACAGTGACTTGATTGAACTTTAAGCATCAATTTGCTCCGTTGCTGTTACCAACAAGACACGCCGCCCAGCTCCACCTTGCTAGGAAGACTTTCGAAACCAATATCTTTGCTTAACCTTGTTCAAACCCTTCTATCCCAACAGAGCCGTCACACTTTAAAAGTTCTAAACCACTGTCAGAAACTTTAACTCAGCCTCGTATCCACTTTCCCATGATACTCCTGAGACTACCTTTTAACAGCTTACATAGATACTCTGCTCAACCTCTGCTGTTGTTAGAGTACTCCTTTGATTGTGTTCAGCTTGATTATTCCTTTAAACAGCTCCACCTCAAACTGTTTTGACACTGTCTTGATGTCCTTGTGCTTCATATCCTCTATGAAGAACCCATGCTCGCTGCAACATCCACTTCACATCTTGTGTGCTGAACTTCTTAACTCCATACACTGAGACCTTGCTGGACTTATTGGCACTGACTTGACTCTTTTCTGAGAATTAATTCTGAAAAGAACACTGCTTCATAAGTCTAATAAGAACGACTTATTAAATTTGTAAAGACTCACAAATTAAGAGAAAAAAGAAGTTCTTATTGATCGAAAAACAGAGTTACAGAGAAGTTAAAGGACTCTCTCTCCCTACTACAAGTTGACCAACCAATTGATACCCTCAACGTACTACTCTCTCTCTCTCAATATATACTACTAGGACCACGTGAATGCCCACAAAACCCTTGCGAGTCACGACAGACAATATCTCGACAGGCCATGTGCCAATATCCCACTTGACAATGACCCTTATTCCTTATTCCTTAAAACCGTAAAAACCTACGCCAGCTGTCCCTCTTATCACCTCCTCAGATAACTTGGCCCCTACGCTTATACTGATAAAGTATTGGAGGCCTTCTCGCTTCGTACGTATCAATACCCTGCTCTTCAAAATTGACCTTGTCCTCAAGGTCAAAACCCGGAAACTGCTCTTTCATCACCATAACCTCCTCCCAAGTGCAATCATGAGATGGCAACCCTTCCCACTTGACCAACACTTCCTCATTACTGGTTACTTCATTCTTCCTCTTCTGAACCACCGCAGCAGGTTCTGTCTCCAACACTCCCTCTACTGTCAGCTGAGACGGAATGGGGATGGTTTCTCCTACTTCTCCAACCACCTTCTTAAGTAAGGACACATGAAACGTGGGATGTATCTTTGTCCCCTCAGGTAACTTCAACTTGTAAGCAACTCGCCCCACTTTAGCCAGTACCTCATAAGGACCATAGAACCTAGCAAAAAGCTTCTCATTGATGCGCTTAGCCAATGTTCTCTGTCTGTAGGGACGAATCTTAACCAGCACCATATCTCCCACTTCAAATTCTACTTCCCTTCTATGACTGTCTGCTCTCTGTTTCATCAGTTGCTGCGAACGATGAAGCTGCTCCTTTATAACTTCCAACATCCTGTCCCGCTCCTTTAACTGTCCTTCCAACTCAGCATTTGCCGTGGAGTCATTCTCATACCTAAGCAACGTCGGTGGCTCCCTCCCATAGAGAGCCTTAAACGGAGACATCTGCAGAGAAGAGTGGAAAGCTGTATTGTAACTTAGCTCAGCCCAATCTAAGAACTTAGCCCACGTTCTCGGCTTATCTCCTGCATAACACCTCAAGTACGTCTCCATGCTGTGATTGGTAACCTCAGTTTGGCCATCCGATTGTGGGTGATACGCTGCACTGAAGCAAAGCTTAGACCCCGACAGCTTGAAC